TCCACTTTATTTTGTAAGGAAGAAATACATTTCAATTCAAAGTATTGTTTTATTTGTTCAAATAAGCAACATACCTCCTTCTGAAGGAACCATCTCTCTTTTCTAATGGTATTTATTAATATATCATTATGATTATGCTTACAGTCTTATTTCAGTCTCTTGTTGGGATATAAAAATCTCATATTCTTACAAGAACTACTGCTTTGACTGGACAGGATAACAAATATTGGTTTCAAATTCTCTATATCCAAGAAGACGCTTCTTCAAAATCCATCACTATTTGGTGGTCTCTGCTGATTCAGAATGATCAAGTTAATATCCAGCTTGATCCTGTTTGAATTACAATTGGGAGTGTAATGTGGCTACTAAGCATTACACATTCTTTGAAACTGGAAATGAATAGCCAGCAGAGGAGTGTTACAAGTGCTGTATATGTGCAATATAGCAGAGTGAAGCTATGATTAAGAGAGGCAGAATTAGCCCAGTCTCTCAAAGTCATAAGCTTGAGGTAGAAGGAGTCCTTCTGGCAGTCTTTCAAATTACATCCTGTGGAATGCATGAGACAACTCTATGCACAAGTAAGGAAAAAAAATCTTAATTAAAAAAAGATTTTAACAATATAATTTTCCTGATTTCCTACTTTAGCAAAAATTTCTACATTGGGCATTGAAAAATAATTAGAGTCAAGATGTTCAGGAAATTAACTTTGGTAGCATTAGATAGGAAGACATAATGCTTTAGAGTGTGTCATGTTTGGTACATCATGCTTAACATGATTTTGAGGAAAGAATTGAAAAATGAGGTGTAAAAGGTAGAGCTTACTGTTTTGTATCACCTTGGCATTTTTTTTATGCTCTTACCTGCAATCATAAAGCATCTCTACCTGTATATTAATAGTGCATTATTCATCTTCAGGCATACTCCAGACTGGACCTTTATCTTAACTGAGTCATCAAGGACATAAGCATTTATAATGAAATACAGCCTTCTTCCTAAAGGAAAGATCTGAATTAATTTCTTTCTTTTTTCAATTGTAGTAAAGAACAAGTAACATAAAATTTGTCATATTAACCACTTTTAAGTGTGCATTTCAGTAGTGTTAACTATATTCACATTGTTGAATAACAGATCTCTAAGAACTGCTTCATTTTGCAAATTTGAAACTCTATACCATTAAACAACAACTCTCCTTTCCCCTTCTCCTTCCAGCCCCTGACAACCACATTCTACTTTAGATACCTCAAATAAGTAGAATCATACAGTATATATCTTTTTGTGACTGGCTTATTTCACTTAGTATAATATCGACAAGGTTCATCCATGTGTAGCATGTGACAAGATTTCCTTCCTTTTTGTTAAGACTGAATAATATTATGTTGTATGTACATGACATTTTGTCTATTCATTCAATCATCAATGGACATTTGTGTTGTATTCACTTCTTGGTTATTGGGATTGGGGCAGCTATGAACATGCATGTACAAATACCTCTTCAATACCATGCTTTCAGTTTACCTGTGTATATACCCAGAAGTGGAACTGATGGATAATATGGTAGTTCTATTGTTAATTTCTTTCAGGAACATTCATATTATTTTCCAAGCCATTTTACAATCCTTTCAATGATGGATAAGGGTTTCAATCTCTCTACATCTCTACTAAAACTTGTTATTTTGTGTTTTTTTTGTTTGATAACAGCCATCCCAATGGATGTGAAGGGATACCTTATTATTGTTTTGATTTGCATTTCCCTGATGATTAGTGATGTAGAGCATCTTTTCATGTTTGTTAGCCAAACCTCTATTCAAATCCTTTGCCCATATTTTAATTGGATTACTTGATTTTTGTTGTTGAGTTGTAGGAGGTCTTTATATATTCTGGATGTCAACTCCTTATCAGATATATGATTTGCAAATATCTTCTCCCATTGCACAGATTGCTTTTTACTCTGTTGATTGTGTCCTTTGTCGCACAAAAGTATTTAAGTTTAATGCAGTTCCATTTGTCTATTTTTGCTTTTGTTGCCTCTGATTTTGGTATGATATTCAAAAAATCATTGCCAAATCCAGCATCATGAATTTTTTCCCTTATGTTTTCTTCTGAGAATTTATGGTTTTAGATTTACATCAGTTGTGATGATTGTGTATGTGTGTGTGTGTGTGTGTGTGTGTGTGTGTATGCTTTTTCTCCCTTCCTCT